AATCTCTGTTTGAAGCAAACAGCAAAATATGTAACACACGACTCTTGAGGTATTCCTCTTCTACCTAAACGCATAGCATCGTCAGCCTACACCCATCACTCATTCTCTTATTCTGTATTTAAATGTATGTCTTGTTTATCTTTGCTATCGCAAAATCATCAAATAATTCCCCACAGTAGCGCCCATTTTGGGCATTTCTTATCAAGTTATATCGTTCTGTGTTTCATTAACACAATTAGTCCGGGACATTTTAAGACGAAAAAAAAGAGGATACAAAATAATGTTAATAAGTGCTAGAAGCAATTTGCAAAAATTTAACAAGTTCCTACTTGAGTTGCAAGAATTATGACGTCGTGACAATTGCTACCATCAGGTCCTAAAGATAAACAGTCGAGTGGGAAAACACATGGACAAGCCTCCAGATAAGACATGTGCCGGTGGATTGTAAATCAGTTTCTATTACCGATAAAATAAACCTCTACAAATGAAAGCGGCAAACGCTACGAGCAAGGTCGAAAGGGTTAAGCAGAAGAAATCCATGTTGGTTACTGTTTTCCGGTAATATTTCGTCTAGTTTAAGTATTATGTTCCCCAACAGGAAGATACTATTATAGAATTTTATAGTACCTTTGAGAAATCCGAAAACATGGATAAAATAAATAGGAAAACATTAATATTCACTTTAGGAAAAAATTAAATAAACTACACCCTAATGCAAAACATCAAACTAATTATAGTCTATTAAGTATCCTAATTGCCTATTCATTGTCCAGCATACATAGCAAACAGCGGACATCGCTACTACCACCTACTTAGTTAAGATAATCTTGTTAAATTCATTTTAACTCTAGTTCAATGATAAGTGCTTCAGAGTGATTGAGAGTTCAAGGCGGAGGAAGGAGATCAAGATGTCTGCGTTTAATTACGCTTTGAATGGTAGTTTGATGATCAAATAACTGTATATGTTATAGTTGTAGAAACTGAGTTTTACACGACATCAAATTATAGGATGAGCACTCGATGATGAAAATTCCTAGACATTAGGATACAGAGCCTTATCAGTGGCTGCCCTTAATTTTATTGATAGAATTTGGATTATATGACTCAAAAGATTAATTTTAATAAAACGTTTGATTCCAAAAGAAAACTAATGTGTTATTGAGAATTTTCTAAGACATATGCAATACGCGTTTTTAAATTAATTTGAAAATTTTGTAAACATTTGAAATTTAATCCGAAAGTTTTTCAATTATATAAAAGCACAAACTGTCATTTTAACTATCTCTGATTGAATAAGTATCCTTGCATGACTACATTGTAATTTAAGCAATTTTTAAGACATGCGCAAAGAGTTAAAAGAAATTGTAGAAATAGTTACATATAAATTAATCAAACGTTTTTCACTCAGTATTGTAAATAAACAAGGAATTTTGAAGTATTTCTCATTCTTATAACGAATGTTTGCAAACGTTTGAATCCAGACGTTTAATCTACAGTATCAGTTGAACAATCTACAACTGATACTGTAGATTAAAGAAAAGCTATGCTGAATAATTTTAGCTGCTTAAAATCTACTGATGATTCAATAACAAGTTTTAAATCAGCAAAGTTAAACTTTCTGACAAAATTTAGTACAGTTTTGATTAATTTGGTTTACAGGATTATGGCAAAGTACTCAAGAGATATCTGGATTCCTCCGTGGAGGATATTCTCTGGGAAACTTATATATATGTTACATATCCGGAAAATCACAAAACCGCTCATGTAGGTCGCGCTACAAGAGCATACCGCTACTTTACCGCTAGGCCATGGTGAGCTCGCAGCATTTTGTAATTTCGAAAATGCGACAAAGCACTAAATAAACTTACCTAATTTTTTTTTCAAACTTCAGTTTAATTTGCTTTTGTAGTATAATACTTTTAACTGTTATGTACTTTTAAATAGCCAGTCTTATATAAAGATTTAGTATACTGCTTAAGTGTAAACCGAGTTTATTGCACTAACTGCTGCATGTAATTTCAAAGAGTTGTCGAAATTATACCTTTCTGAATGTTTCATCAAATAAATAATCTCAGTTTTGGTTATTTGTTTATGACACATACCAAGCTTGAAGGAGCAAATATCTCTGAGAAGCACCTTGTAAGGGAAACTCTTTCGTTTTCATGTAATGCATGAGGAAAACTCCAAAAACGGCAGTGCAGCTACCCAGTTCGCTGGAATTCATACCAAGATCAAATTACCAGAGTTCAGCATTCTACAATGGTGGGCCTTTTTCTCTGAAATAAAATCATTATGAATTATTTAATTCTATTTTTAAGAGTATCCAGCGGTGGCCGAGTGTATAAATCTGCTGAATACTAGTTCGCCCAGCCTTGGGCTCAAAACTCAGGCGAACGGCTGGCTACGTGGTTGTTTTTGCTGGCTTTTCTAATGTGTAAGATGATGTCAGTTTCCCTCAATTCTTCTTCTTCTTCTTCTAGGCAGTTAGCCCTCGTAGATTTGCCATATTCAGATAATGTAACCTAACCTAATTTAATTTTTATGATCTATGAACATGAGTGTTCACCAGAAGTTAAATGTAGTTGAAATGATATATTCTTTTTTGTCTGCTATTTGCTTTTTCCATTTTAAATAGCACCATGTTGAATACCCGGTTACATGTTCTACGCCTTTGATTTCTGGGGAGGAGGAGGAAGTAATTTCTGAAATTTAATAGCTTATTTCAAATGCTAAGTTTATAACTCCTTAAAGTTCGCAAAAGTTCATCGTAAATGCACGATATTAAAATACATAATTAAAAACAGGTAAAAATGTTTTAGATTTTTAAATATGCGTTTACAATGACATATTTAGATTTCATTAAGAAATTCTAAATTATAATCTTTTTTCAAAGTTACTTGTTTTCTAAGATCAAATCAGCGGTATTAAAGTGCATTAACAATAAAATTAATGTGCCATTAGTGGTACATTACTTTAATACGAGTGGTACCATTTTGGGCCACGAGCAGTTATTTAAAGATACAGAAAGCACGGCATAGGACTTGTTATGAATTTACATTCACACCTTTTCGAAAATTTAGAAAATGAATTTACTAGATATTCGTACATTGTTCTAGATAAGGGTTTAGGTATATAATCACAAAGAAACAGCGTGAATTAGTTCAAATAAGAAAGCTTATGCTGTTTCTGTTTAAAATATTGTTTTCATAAAATGGATAAATTTTTTACGTACCGTTATGTTATCGGGACCAGGTTCAGAAATGTATATCTGTATGCATATTATGCATGGATGAATTGGTTCATGTATGCATGTATATATGTACGTATGTACATATGTGTGAGTGTACACACATATATACTCACATACATACATACGTACGATTCTAAATCCGCTTCCGATAACAGAAGAATGCAAGTTTTTAATGCCTTAATATTTCTTTTCTTTGCGGTACTGGATTTTTTAGTCACGCTGTTAATTAAAAAGAAATATGACACTGTTGCAACTTAAACCAGAACTGAAATTGAAATTAATGAATATAAAGCTCGATGTATCGGAAATAGAGCGCGCCAGAGATTGAGTGGTTAAATGACTGAACACTCATAATTCGATACGGGATTCGAATCCAGGTGAACGGGCTGGCGGCTGGCGTTTTCGTCGTGTTTCACATGTGTAAGGCATATACGTGACACTTTCCCTTAGAACGTATGCATCTTTTCCATTAGGCAGATAGCTCTTGAGGGCTTTGCCGTTATCAAAAATTAATAATTAACTTATTTAACAAAACTAACAAATTAAACTAAACCAAAAGTTCCAAAAGTGACTGCTATAAATACACAATCAGGCTCATTTTTTGCATTAATAGTAGTATATGTTTATATTTCCCATTATGTATTATTATCTCTATTTACTATAAGCATGTACTTTATTTTATAATAAAGTTTCATTACGAATATAATTTAATATAATTTTTAAATGTTTTATTACTGTAAACATTTTACAGTGTACTGATTTTTAACCGAAGAATGCTTTTTTGATGGTACACGTATTTTTACTTTTATTTATTTGGTGCAAAATTTAAAACAACTTCAAATTCGTGCTCTAGAATAATATGCAAACTGTTGTGCGGAAGAGAATAACATGCAGAGCAGTGAAATTTAATAGTAAAAACTGATTAACTGATGCATCGACTGTTGAAGTTACGATAGTCATATCTTGTTCCAAAAAGTTATATAAAAATGCTGTTGCACCAAATCCTACGTCAACACCAACGAATGTGATCTTATTCACGCTTTCGAAGTGGGAAATTAATCTTACCACAGTGACGATCAGTATTTTTTTTAGTTATATAGTTAATCATTCTATTAGAATCGATGTGTTAAGTCCTATTTGAATAGATGTGTTAAATCTGGAGAAGTATTAAGTCGTATGTAATTACTAGTTGCTATTAAGATTACAAATAAGTTTTTTTTTCTTCTGCAAATGGCACAAGTATTACCTTGTAAATATAATATGTTTGTCTTATTGAACAGTATATTCTTTATGAATGCTATCTATATGATGTTTTTGCTATCTATATGATTATTCTGTGTTTCTAGCAATAATGTAGATTAGGTCTACGGATTCTTAGCGTTTAGGAGAAACAGAAAGCTTTGTTATTGGATAACGCTTTGCAAACAGGTAAGAGGACTTTGTATAGCTTGATAATATGTTTGATCGAAAATACCCTGGGGGACCTTACCCATCTCAGGCAATTTTCGAATCGACTTTTTTTATGTGCATTTATACCAAAGTTAACATATTGTTACAGATTTGGTATTTGAATATTTAAAGCCGTAGAACATTTCCATCATTATCTATACGACAGAAAACTATGGTGAGCAAATCTTTCCTAGTGGAACATGTGAACGATGTTAGAGTTGCTCGCCATAGTTTTCACCGTATAGATAATGATGGAAATGTTCTATGGCTTTAACTATTTAAGTAACAAATCCGTAACAATATGTTTACAAACATCCATGTACAAATCTGGGATAAAAAACTAACCTGGATCCCTCACATCCAAGAAATAAAGAACAAAACATCAGATATAGCCAGAAAGGCGCGCGCCTTCCAAGGTAAAAACTGGGGTCAGAATCATCATATTCAGAAGATCCTCTACCATGCGGTAGCTGAAAAAATAGTCTTGTATGCTGCTGCCGTATGGGCCCAACCGATGGGAGGACGAAAGATCAAACATCTTACATCTCTTCAACGACCATTCTCCCTGAATCTCTGTAAAGTGTACCGCACCACAGCCACCAGCTCAGCGACAGTCCTTGCAGGGCTCATTCCACTCCACATACGGGCAGAACAAGAGGCAGTCTACACCACTCTCATATACCTCCGCAAAGATGCAACATTTGGCAACATAACATACAGCCCTCTGCAATTTCAAAGCCCAGGTAACACTCTTCACACACATCCTGCACGTAAAGACACAGGAATAAGAATTAACATCTCACGGATACAGCCACTGTCAATGACGCGAGTTTCAAGGGATACGCAAATATACACCGACGGCTCTAAGCAGGAAGACGGAGTAGGCAGCGCCTTTGCACACTATGACAAAGGAAGAATCATCCATGTATGGAAATCCAGGTTTTGGAAGAACGCCTTGACTTAAACAACAGTGTGTTCCAGGCGGAGGTGCAGGCAATTATAACCGCGGTAGATTACATTTTCAATTATAATATAGAACGGGCGAAAAAAAATTTCACTGACAGTATGCCAACGCTTCTAGCACTAGATAATCACACAACCACACCTCGCCCTTGATCATCAAATTACAACAACTTTTACAGCGCAAAACCCGCAGAAACATCTCTCCTTAACATGGATCAAGGCACATGCAGAAAATGAGGGAAAAATGAAGCAGCTGATAGCCTGGGCCAAGCAAGCAGCCACTGATCCAGAAGCTGAAAAAAAAAAAATCACAATCCCAGCACCTCCTTCCTACCTCAAAGGGATATTACGGGGTCAAGGCCTAAATCTTTGGCAGGAAGACTGGACTCACTGCACAACTGGAAGACGTACATACAGCTACCTCCCGAAAGTCAGCACTGAACGCAACATTGCAATAGCTCCTCTTACGGCTTATATTACGGGACACGGGCCATTCCCGACCTACTTCAATAGACATGGCATAACAACCACGGACATATGCGCCTGAGGAGCGGAATGCTCCCCAGACCACTATGTTTTTGAGTGCCATCTGACAGCAGGAAATCACCTCCCTCTTCCCATCAACAATAGTGAAGCTTATCACCGCTTCCTTATAAAGCACAAACCGGCAGTAAATACAATTTGCAAAGTTGTTAACAAGCTCAAGAGAATGGGCCAAGATTTGTGCTCTCCTCATTAACCAAAACTCTCAAGGCATGATACACTAACTAAGTCAGCATGCAGTTCCACATACTCAGACACATAAGCCTACTCCTAAAACTTACATAAGTCCCTATTACAGACACCTTTCAAATAATGTACAATCAATGTATCTAACATTTCCTCTTCTGTATATGCATAATACTTAATTTTTTATTTTTATTTATTTATTTATTTTATTTTATTTTTTTTCCTATGAGCCTGTATTTTAATCCTATTATTTTGTATCTGTATATTTAATTTGTATTTTTATTTGAATTTTATTGTGAATGTGCAAAATTACCATAGCAAATTGCAACAACAAATGTCAAAACGGTAAAATGAAGGCAATCTGCCCTTGTATGGCCATGTAAATCCTCTTGTTAACATCCTAAAAAGCTCCCCAGGCGGCCTCTTGAGGCCCCAGAGAGTTGTTCCTGGTTAGTGGAGGGCGCGGGACACATGCCTGTTTACCTCTGTTAGACATCAGGCGTCCCCGTCCTCCGTTACCAACCAACCAACATCCATGTCCTTTTCGGGATCAAAGCCATTTTGGCCATTTCGTCCCATCTAACGACAGAATAGCCGGATTTGCTAATTAACCACTACTGCACAGGGTGACAATTATTGCATAAACAAAAGTTAATTGTATGCTGAGGATAATGCTCGCCAAACTAAGTGGCACATATCAAGAAATGAAAGCAAAGCCTTAATTTGCATTACTTTAAATGAAAATTCAAATTTATTAACACGATATTAGAATTATGCGTTTTAGTAAAATAGATAATTTATTCTATGCATATTTTAGTTATCTTAAAAAACTGAAAAATAATAGGAAGCTTTTAGAACTTTTATCATCTTAAAAGGAATTAAGAAAAGTCGTCAGTGTTCAAAGCAAATGTTATTTAGAATAAAATGCTGTTATCATGTGACTGCAGAAAATTCTAGTAACAATAAAAAAAATATCAAAATGCAGACACAAACACTATACTATCGGAGCAGTATTATTCCAATTCGTTTTTATGAGCTTCAAGTAGTTGCATTACTTTTTTTTCCTTTTGTATCATTTGAATATTTCCTTTAATCTCAACACATAAATTGGAATTGAATAATTAGATAAATATTGCTTTAAGGAAACTAGCATTCAGTCCTCCCATGGCTTATTTCCCTTTTATTTCTTTGCCTTGAAAGCTTCAAAAGATGTATCATTCAACTGAGCTTACTGGGGTAAAAAAGTGTGAAATGCCAAAGACTAACAAATCATTTCAATATGCGTGTATTTCCGAGATAAAATATAGCATTTGGATTTAAATGTGGAAAAAAAAGAAACTTAATTTTTCTCTTTGAAGATCATTGTTCTAATCTTCTTACACCTGAACCACTCTCTAGAAAATGATATCACATCTGGAAGTTAATGCTTTGAGTATCGGAAAAAGAATTATGAACCCCTGGTTAAAAACACTATCTTTAATGTGCATTAAAGAAACCGGAAAAAAGAAAGGAATCCAAAGAGGAATAAAATGCCAAAGAAAACGAGGTATGATAATGACATAATATTCTTCTTTAAGAACTGGGATAAAGAAATTTGTAAGGACGAAGAAACATTAAGATATTTGCAATACGGAAGAAGATAATTTTATATCCCGATTTAACAGGAAGGAATTTTTAGTTTAATTGTTTCTTCCATTTTTCACAGAAGTACGTTTTTATAATTCTGTTTCATTAGGATGCTTGCGTATGGTTTCTTATATTCTAAAAGGATTTCAAAGTTAAAAGAAAAAAAAGGTGTAAATTAAAGGAAAAAATGGGTATGCATTTTTTTTTTTTTCTCTAGAAGATTTTCATCTTAAGTGTCATTAAACTTTTCAGCATAAATCACGACCGGGAAGGCTCACGTAAAAGTTTTAAATTCTTAAATTTATTGATGTGATTTAAAATGTATTTAATCACTAAATACGTTTTTATCCATTAATCTCGAAGTATCATTTTTATTATTACCATTACCATTGTTGTTAATGTTTACTATTATTAAGACTACAATCATTATTATTATTATTTTTATTATTAGTATATGGTATTCTAGGCATTTTATTAATAGCCAAAATGCTATTGCTCATGTTATTAGTAAACTGCTAATTAGTAAATTACTCATGTTATAATCAAGTAAAATGATACTAATTTTCGTTTCTTTACATGCCATTGTTTTGATTTCCGATAGGGTGTGCTGAAATACTTGAGGTAACTTAAATTTGTGAAATAAGGAATTTATATTTATTGTTTCGTTCTATGGATTTGGAAGGACTGTCGACAGCACTTGATGAAGAATGAAAACACAATTTATTAGCCTGTATTACTAGGGACATCTCCAAAAACACGTTTAGAGTCTTCGAAAAACTACTATGAGCCCTCTGAAACCATCAGCAACACAGTCTTCAGGCTATCAGGTTACATCGGAGAAGACAGCTTCACAGTAAAGCACTAAAGTACAGCTCCCGACTCGGATCGGTCGCTCTCGGAACTTAACTTACTTTCGATGTACTCCACGCTACAACTCGCGACGCATTCGACGATACACGGACGATACACCGATAAACCGACGATAAACTCTCGCGATTCTACGCTACTCCACGTATAAGCAGGGTTTATATAGCTTTTGTCCTGCCTTCGAAAACATTCTGGGTCAAACCGGTAAGAATTCATTCTAGAATGTTATCCGTCCATCTATGGCATATCGTCAATTTTGTCGCCGAATATCGCCAAATGGACGGATTTGCGTTAAATCTGGCTATCTTACCGCGGCTCGGCATTTCGTAACAATATATTTCTCAATTTATCCTAATAACATTTTTATACCCATAGAAAAACATGGCACATGATTATTGAATATTTAGCTTGGACTCATAATATCAGATAGAGGGTTTTTGTGTTTTTTGCTCATTTTAATATGACAAAGCGCACTAGGGACATTTGCTTGATTTAAGCGATGTCTTCATAGTAGACTTTGTTTGAAAAAACGGCTCTTATCCAGGTGATCTTATATATGGCTGCGATGAAGCCAGACTATTTGCCTGGAATCGAACCCAAGTCAAAGTACCAACGTTCAGGGTTTTCCCGACCGCTAATAGGCAATAGAAGGGTTCTAATAGATCAATAGTAGTCACATGGACATATCCTGGCACAAACTGTCTTATACAGAATTTGTTATAGGAAAGCGAAAACCAATGGCTGAGGTCTTAAACATGTCTATGATATTAAGTCGGTTCTAGGAGACTGCATTTTTATTGCGGTATATAATTTACCTCAGAGTCTTGAAAAAATCTTGTTTTGTTACATTTGGTGAAATCTTTATTGGTTTTGAGTTATCCGCTGTTTCTTCGGCAAGGCAGATGCAGCTGACTTTCGAAATAGTTTGTGACACTGGAACATTGCCATCTTTCCCTGTCTTTAAGTGCCTCTTACGTTTAACTCGTGCCTGAGTGGCAGGATCATATTTGTATAGGACAATACAATACAATGTCATGCAATGTTGTTAATAAATATGCTCCATGATAACTAACAGATCTTTGGACTGCACTAAAGCTAACCATCATAAAAAGTGTGCTGTTCATTGATTATTGCTGTGAAAACAAATTTTCTTGTTTAATTCAGTAGCAATCATGCTGTTTGACACCTTAAATTCGTACCAACTTTAAACCTGAAATTTATGTTTTAAACAATTACTGAAGTCAAGAGACTTGCTTCAAGGAAAAAGACGTGCTTTGTTTTCTTTTTACTCATATATAATTTCATTTTAAAACTGTAATAAACTCTGCGCGGTGTGCTTAACCGAAAAAAAATTTAAATCTGATGTAGACACCATCTGACTTCCTTGTACGGCCTATTAAATTATAAATATTTTTGGTTGCATTTCATTTAATATTATTTCCTCGAATTTCATTAGAGATGTATTTCTCATTCAATTAATTCAGGCAAAATTCCAGGCAAGCAAAAATACATAAAAACTCAAAATATCTTCATTAACATTAGAAAAATGCAGGAAACACGAATAGTGTTATATGACAGTTAAAACAGTCAAGACGTTTTTTAAAATTAAAATATAGTTTCTACTGGAAAAAAAAATTGGCCAGCGAACAAGAAGGCAGATTTTTGGTACACAAACTGAAAGATTGCTTTTTGACTCATTCGACAAAAGGACATTGAATGTGCAAAAACTGCCTTAATTCACTTTTAAAGAGTTTCAAATGTAAGTAAATGGCAGCTATGTTTAGCTTAGTAGCACTTAAACAACATTAAATTGTTGATAATTTTACAACTGTTGCATGCAGATTAAGTAAAGCTATAAAAAGGTTAACCGGAATATAAGAACAACATAATTCAATCACTTTAATGCAAAATTTACCAACATATAATAATAAGAAACTGAACTCTCCGAGCCGGGTAACAGAGTGAGTAGATATATATATATACTTTCTGGTGAGACAGATTGCAACCAAAAAGGGACGCGCACAACTATATGTTAAAACAGTCCCATGTACAAAATTTCAGTGTTTTGGGGCTGCTCATTTCTGAGTTATGCGAGATAAATAGATACGTACGAACACACGTCACAAAAAAGAAAAAAAAAAAAAGAAAACCTCTTTTGAATCCATTTTTACTATCCGTTTCGGAAAAAAAAGAGTTCTTTATGATGTACGTAAGTATACATGTCACGTAAGAACGTCGCCGCTCAAATACTAGATTTAAGCGCTTTACAAATGTAAAGTTTCGTTGAAATATGAGACAGGAAATTTTTCGCGATTACAATACTTCCTTCACTTCATACACGGAAATAAAAAGGCATCCATGTAATTCTTATCAATCAATATCAAATGCGAAAACAACTTTCATACTCGAATCTTTTTCTTTATTTTTATTCTTTTTATAAACATAACTTCACATTTATTAAATTCGCTTCCATTTCTTTCGTTGCGCTTAATAGGTTTGCTTGTCTGAATAATAACAAAGGTCCACTACATCTTTATTATTATTCAGAACAAATCCCAGAGTTTAATGTTTTGATCAGAATTTTAATAGTAAACTCTTAGGATTGCAAATAAAATATTTAATAAATTCTGTAAAATAATCATTCCTCAGCGTTACAGCGCTTAATGTCGTCAATGACATTCACAGCTGACTTATGATTACCTGAAAGACAAAATTAATTTGGTATTTTTGCGCTTTTCGTTTTTATTTTAAAGCTCACGACGATGAAATAAATCATTTGAAGGCTTTCTTGTACTTGACTGATGGCAAATCTATAGAATGCAAAATTCGCACTGTCCCAATAAAACATGGAAGTGAGTTAAAAAAAGGAATTAAAGCTTGAATTCAAAAACTTGACATGTTGTAAACTTCTATATGAGATCTATTAGTTTTTAGCTGTGAAAACAAAGATAAACGTAAGCGCTTATTTAACAAAATTGATTCGAAAAGTTCAATGATATGTAAAATAAGCAAATATCTATTTCGGAGAAAGGTCTGTAATGTTTGAAAATTTTAACGAAATTTTAAATGAAAAAAAAAATTGCGTGTTGCTACACGACTTGTAATTTAGTGCTGAATTGTGCAGTGCCGATTTGTATGATGGCTTAATTATGCTTTTAAAAGGATGCCATTTTAGCAAGGGAAAAAAAATTGAATTTGCTTCTCATACTTTTTTTGCGCATTTTTATAAATTTTTCGAAATGGTTTTGATCATACATCTGTAATCCAATTATTATATATCACTGTAGAGTACAACACTTCTTTTTAGTTATTTGCTTAATTAGTGGATTTTCTTTAGTAGTTTTATATCTGTCTCTAGGTATTTTGTTTAATTTCGAATTTTTTATTTTTTAATACGACTAATTTTAGTTCTACATGTCGTGTATTAAGCTGTCGATTTTTTTATTCTAAATGGATTTACTATTTAAATATCTAGATATTTCAATTGTGCACTTAACATATGTGAAGTTGGTAGTTTGTGAGAGGTGTACTTCTAATGGGTTTTGGCACCAATTTTTATCGCCACAACAAAACCTAGCAACATTTTGCGATTTTCTGCTAAGTTGGCGACATTCAGGTATTTACCTGAAAACGCAGTTCCTAAGAGAGAGTTTTTCCGAAACTTCCTTAAATAGTTATCTTTTTCATTGGTTGAATTTAACCAGTGAATTCAGTTTTGAATCTGAGGCTTAGCATTTCCTGCGTGTGAAGGTGAATGTTGCCTTATTTTTCTCTCTTCTTTTTGAGATATTTGTAGTTCTTTATTGTTTTTTAATCCTTGGAAAACCGAAGCCTTCGCTAACCTGAATGTTTAATATACAGAAATGCCTTTCGAGATATACAGCAATTTATTTCCCTACTTGTCCATTAATGCACAAAAAGGTATGAAATTTTTCATGTCATGCCCAATCTAAAGGTAAGAAGCCACAAATAAATCCTTTTAAGACAAGCAGTCTGAAACAAGCTGATACAATTAATTTGGAGAACCTGCGCCTGCTATTGCATACTTTACGGGAGGGAAGAAAACAACAACCTTGATCGTTTCTGACAGTTGTGGTGGTTTGAATGAAAGGACGTCTCGGTCGTTTTGGAATTCAAATGGTTAATCGCTGCTGTTTACCTTAATAAAGTATCTAGTTACCCTGTTCGTTAGACTAATTTTTTCAAGAAGATCTGAAATTCTTATATTGTATCAGTAAGCACTGCGTTGGATGAGGTTTTGCTAATCCTATCCTTGTTAAAGCGATGTAAACTAGCATTGAGGCCATCTAATATTTTTGTTTAAGTCAGGAGCTGATACTTTATGCAACGTACAATCTAATTATGCAGTTCTGCTACATGAACATTAAAAGACATGAATGAGAGATCTGCATTAAAACTATTGATAGCAACATATGAATAATACACTAAACAAATATGTTTATATCTGCATTTCCCTGAACACAAACCTTATTTATAAAAATTAACTAGAGCAGCAACCCATTCTGATACTTAAAAATCTGGATAAAGATGTTACTTCTGCAGGCCAAGTACGTATGTATTGAATTGGAGGTAACATAATTTTATTTCTTGGGTGGAAAGAGTTTTTTTCATAACATCTCTAAGTTTATTTAGTCCGTTTTTAGACAAAGACATACTGGTATGATTACATAATGAGTCACAGAGTAAAGAGGTATACTATAATATTGTAGAATAGGTATTTTATTTTCCATTAATATTTATAATCTGCATATCTGCTGAAAATTTTAATCAAATGTTTATCTAACAACATGTTGATCTAAACCGATTTAATGTTGTCGTAAAAATGTGTACAACATTGTATTATCTCCATTACCTCAACCAAAGAACATATTAAAAACACGTAAATAAAAAACAAGCTTACTTTTATTCGATTTACAAAAAATGAGCTGTATGATGGGATTTATGGATATCTGCAGGCTAGGTCACAGGTGTTTGTTTTATTTTATTATTGGCCGCATAAATTTTGTACAATATTGTTGCTTTCTTAAAAGTTTATTTCTTCATTTTTCTTTCTGCTACTGACATACTCTCCATAATCTCAAGGAACTAAATAGAATCATTTGCTTTTATTCGAAAATGTTTCAAAGAAGTAATGTCTTCTGTAATAAGTGTGGGATATTTAGCATTTCACTTTCAAATGACTTCCCATCTGCAGCATTTTATTATGTTTAATACGATAACGCTTTAAGAGTAGAGGATAGATAACAAACAGTCTTGAAATAAAACAAAAATCAATTTATATCCCTTTTAATGTGTTAAATTGTAATGAATTTTTAAAGTAACTTTGCAAGTAATATTCCTGAGTTACAACCGGCAAGGTATTATTCGTTTAGGCAAAACTGTAATTAGGAATTAATTAACTGCAAGCGAAGAGACAGAAAACATTTATCTACCTTTTGGTGTCTTCTCTGTAGGTATGTAAGAAGAGTCCCTAAAAGAAGAAAAAAGTGTATAAAGAAAACATTTAAAGTGATTTATTACTTTTTCTTATATTTTATGCTTAATTCAAGAAAAACGAACGTTTTGTCAGAAAAGTTACAAAAAATAAAATAATTTCAATAAATATATTTTATTTTGAAAATATCAGGTTATGTGGCTTTAAATCGAAGTTATTCATAATTTCCAACACATGACCAAATGAATCATTAAAGCAATTAACTCAATATTATATTTTTAATAATCACAGTATCCCCACAATCGATTTGCCCAATAGTGGCTGAGCAATTAAAGACTGCACGATGCTCGAAGCTCGTCCTCGGTTCCAACCCAGATTAATATGCTTTCTGTTTGATTAGCTTCCCTGTTTTTCTCTATGTGAAAGGTGATATAAACCATTTTCCCTTAAAACATTTTCCTGACGTCACCCCTTTCCCTAGGTAGATAGCCTTCGAGTGCTTCGCCATATTTAATGGCCAACTAATACCCAATGAATTTAACCATATATTATCCACCGAATACACTTCACTCCCATCCACAGTTTCTAAATTTTTATATTGAATGCAGGAAACTTATATAATCTTGTTGCATTATACTCGTATATGTTTTCGGGTTTGATACTGTACTATATAAAACAGGTGGTAGGCTTTTAGGTTTTCTGAGCGGAAGACCTAGTAAATCAGTTCCCCCTTCGCTAGGATTGGAACCAGAGTTCTATTATTTTCTAACTACTTACACCATGAGGAGAAATATAAGAAGATGTGCAATAACTCTTTACATCATGTTGAATTTAAATAGCAGCTGGGGTAAGACACAAGACCCAACTGATCAAATCCAAGTAGTGACAAATCATTGTTCATCCTATATCAGTTTGTGTTCCGCTGTCGAGAGTGTTGCATTTTTCAAAACATTACAAATTAAATACACTGTCTCAGGGATTAGAACCACTTATCTTCTAAATAACAGCTCATTTGACCTGACTGCCTGTCAGCAAGGGAGCTTCAACATCAGCAAATTATAATCCCATGGATCGCATAATATGAAGGATACGAACAAGCAGATGTACTTGAAGAAGAAGACGTACACAATCAGCTAACCGTAATTAGCCACATATTATTCATACCATAGCCAAACGTTTATCTTCTACAAATCTGCAACAGAAAGCAAAAGCAGTAAGACAGCAGGAATGATGTGTCATACAATAAGATAGGAAGATATTCAATACTACAAAATCTTGATACTAGTAAAATAATTCCTGCTCCACAAATAAACGGGATTCATTCAACTTCCTACCTATTTTTACTTCACACCATTTCAGCGGATAGATTCTGGTATCTGAGGTGAATAAGAAGAAGGTTCTCATTATCTATTTAAATATGCCACATCTGTTACCTATTACAAATGCCTTCAAAGCAAACAAGCTTCGCCATATAGAGGAAAGACAGAGAAATAAACATCATCATAATAATGAATCTAGTTAGAGACATAGGAACATATTTGTGTCATCCCTAATAAAGCGTGCTACATACGACAACGAAATCAATACGACGAACAGTTTTCTCTGTGTTTTCTTTTCACGTTCTCGTGTGCACTAGATTCTTCCATATTTAACATTACTCCAATAATCTACATTTGGGGAAAGTAATCATTAGGGTACATCATCATAAACATTGCGTTGTCAAAAACGCAATGGTAGTATTAATTATTTATTCCTTCTTACAAATCTCATCGAATAGTTGTAATGTTGAATAAGCATTGCACCACGAAAAAGGGTTGTTTTCATGGGAAGCAACAGTCGAAGAACAACACCTGTTGACCCATGATAAAGTATTGTTACTTTTAATTACCCTCAACTAAAAGTTGTCACGTGTGTTATTAAACGCATGTATTAAATATTTACAGGATGAGAGCATGTACGAATGAAAATAATTATTCCTCATAGGCTTATTTGTGTTATAAAATATAGTTAAAATACTTTGTGATAGATTACCAAAATGAATGAAGTCTAAACTCTCCAGAATCTGCTGATAAAATTTAGTTTATATTTGAAGGTACATCCTATATAAGATAATTGGTACATTTCATTTAATACTGATTTTACTCCTTTTAAGATATCCCATCGTTCGAAGACAATTCGAAACAAGCAATTCCTTTTTTTTCCTTAAATTTGCTTTGAGATTTCGCTAATAAGTGTCAGGCATTATGAATATAAAAGCTGGAAAAGTAAATAATTTGATATATTATGGCTTTACATCCTACCTTTCAGTAAAACATCTTTAAATTAACCCGAAGATAAATTTACAAAAAGACAAAGGAACCAAAATACGTTAAACATTACCTATAAAATTTGCCTGCACATGCTATTATAGACATTTCATTATTAAGAGCATAGGAGTAATTAATCTCTTCATATAAAGTATAAAATTTTAATAAAGTAATTATCCGGCCTTTGACAGAATACCTAAGCATTTTAATTAATAATGCTATTCAGAAAGCACTTCTTTCAATTCCAATAACGCAAAAATGGGGCTGTATTTAAAATTTAACTTCTCTTTATTTCCTTGCATTATTCAATCCCAGAATAATTATTTGAAATTCTTTCAAACAAATAATCGTTTTTATTGCCTTTTAGTGCTGATAGATAAGCAGTTTTGTATTGATTTTCCATTATCGCCTTATTCACACCTGCATTTTCAGTCATTCTTTAATCATATTGCTTTCTATTGAAACACAAACACCAAAGCGTAAAGGAAATTACAGTTTTAATTCTCATTAAAATGGTCAGGAAAACTTTCAGAAGAATAATTAAGATAAAACATTTAAAAAATTAGAAGCATGATTTTTATCAAGTATGCATATACTTTCTATGGTTTTAAAAATGCTTCAATAAATTAAAGATTACATGATTCTAGATTTTTCTATAGAATAAAGATTTGAGACTTTCTTCTTCGTAAACCTTTACTTAGTCGCGGAAAATGCTGGAACAGATTTTAAACTGCAGATGGGTACTGCAATTTTGTTTTCTTTTTTTATCTGTCTAGCAATATGCGTATACGTGGAAGGCAAGCTGTCAAATACATGCATGGACACGTTCGCGGAAATGCTCCGTTATTCATCGTGGAAAAGAATCTTTTTCGTTCTGTTTGGGTGACAAAACATTTTCCGCCTTGTCAGGCAAAAGAAGGGAATTCTTTCCACTTAGATACTGAAATGAAACAGCATATGTTGCATAATTTCCTTCAATATTCCATGCATTGTGAAATTTCCGCTTATTTTATAGTGAATATTTCCCATTCCCAACAAATATATTATATAATAAATTTAAGTTTGTAAATGTTGATTTCTTTTACCATTATACCGTAGTAAAGATTAAAAAACGGAAGAAAAATATATATTACCCAACATTCATTTGGAACTAATTGTTTTTACCCGTTAACATACATTTCCAGTAAGTTCTGACTTCTTTTCCTGCCTTTAATATGCCAGCCATGCGCCGCCAGCCTTTATACTGGTTAGTAATGCTGATTATCGTATCAAAGGGCCCAGGTTCGAATACCGCAGAAAGCATGGATGTGTCGAAATGTATAGTTTCTGTACGGCATGGGGACACTCAAAACATACGGCGAGCTGACTTATGCAAAGCAATTCACTTACTGCTTCTTTAAACCATTTCAATGCTTTACTTTTAACAGTTGCAAGTTTAAGCTTAACTGCTTATCAAATTTGCATAATGTTAATTTTAACAGTTTTTCGAAAAAAAAAAATGAAACGTAGACATAGAAACTAAAAAATATATAACAGAAGAAAGTTAACTCCGACAAGACATAATACCTAATCAAAAGGTTTATTAGAGGCTAGGACTTATAGTACATTTAAAAGTTTACAAATACTCACCACTGGCTTTTGTAGGATGTCCGTAATTCAAATATTTAAAATAATACAATACATAAAGTTAACGTCCAAATACTAAATAATGCATCACCATGTAACGAGAATTCCAGCGATGTATGATAATAAATACAATTTTACTCTCAAATTACAGGTCGACTGGCGGGAAGTTTGTCTTTTAGGCTAGCACATGTATTAGACTTTGTTTGACAGTGTACGCAAATTTGTCCACTATTTGCACTCAATATAGTTTACATTTGGACGGAAAAAAAGCAAAGATGAGAATTAACATTAAAATATATTGATTATTAAAAAGAAACCACATACAGTTGCATAACAGTCTTATTGTTTCTTGTCATTGTTTTTTATTCTTTTTTTTTTTTTTTTTTTTTTTCTAAATTTTGCAAGAAATTTTTTTTTTATCACTTATTTATCTATACACCAGAAGTTTTCTCTCCTAGGCTTCGAGATGTTCTTAAAAGAATCTGTCATTGGTTACGAGTGAAAACATCGCAACTAAAAATTTAGAGGAGAAAACAATGCGTTGGACAAGATACTGTGCGAGAGGAAAGAAAGGCAAGGAGAAACGTTTGCAGTTCCCCTGAAGAACCGCGAAGCAAAACATTGACTTAGGATATAAAATGACGACGAAATTACGCTGTTTGGAAATATTGTCGTAAAATTTGGTCGTGAAAAATACAGCAGCTACAAACTTCGAATGACAAAAGCATCGCAAAAATATGCGTTGTGTATGCGTATAAGATACTTAGAATTCTCTGAGTCCTATCATTTTCAAAAGCAATATTTTGCGTATAAAGAAAAGCACTTATAAGGAATAATGTGAAGGAGTTGATAACCAAAACTGATTCTGATGTTTTCCTAAAAAGTTCTGATTCCGTATTTTGATTAATAGCTTAATTATTTATAAAATCAAAATATTAATACAGAAATCTGCTTTATATGAGATAACACTGCATAAAAATAATAACTATATAAGATAAGAATGCAGTTTGAAAGAACCCTCCTAAAATATCCAGATATATGTTTTGTTATTTTAATTATACTCTTGAAAATCATATGTGTGCCAAAGTAATAAATCTGCGTAATA